GTTGCAGTTTCTAGTTTCACTGTTTCCAAACATACAAAATTTATTTTAAACATGATCCAAGAGGACTCATGCCACATGTTTGAAACCTTCATTTAACTCAGAGCTGAGAGCTAAAAATACAAACAATTTTTTGCTGTTCTCAGGCCCTTCCTTGTCTTGGCACATTACAGCACTGCTGTTATATACTACCAAAACACTGGCATTAATTGTTGTTAGGTAATTTTCTAGGGTGGAAATAGGAAGAAAACTGGACTTGCTGTTCCCCACATGGACATAAGTGTGCCCCTGGGCTGGGAGAATGTGACCCTGCCCAGCCAGCACTGAGATGCTCACTTGGGCTGTTTTGAGTAAAACTTTCACGTGACAGTTTGCAGGACAGTCCCTGGAAACACAAACACAAGAGGGTGGGATATTGTCCAGGCAATCCCAGCACGCATATCAATGGGAGGGACTGCTCAGTCATGTGTGCAACCTTGTAAAAATGTGTTTTGGACCTGTGTTGGCAGGGAGGAAATGATCCCACACTTCACCTCCAACCCCCTGCGTGTCTCCTGCTGCGTTTCCCAGCTTGGAAACGGTGCTGAGGCTGTGGCACTGTGGGGCCATGGCAAAGAGCCCAGTGGTGCTGGTGGCACTGGCCTCTGTGTCAGGGAAGCTGGGCTGAGAGCACCCTTTCATCTGTCCTGTGGCCAGGAGATGTCCCAAGCCACTGGCAGACACCACTGGCATCCCCTGTCCTTGGTGAGAGCTGTAGATGCTCAGCCCCCTGCTACAAATCCCCAGTTGCCATTGCTCTCTCCCACAACAATCTGCATTACTTTGAGGGGGAAAAAAATAAGTCCTGGTCACAGACTGGTTGCTGGGTCACTTCTGACACCACAATCTCACCAAGGTGCCAAACAGCAGCTGCCATCAAAAGGCTGTGGGATGCTCGAGATGGGCAGGGGGCATTTTTGGTGATTAGATTGCAAAGCAGGAGTCTAAATATCACAGGTGCCCCAAAAGAAGAAGGTGGAGGAAATGAAAGTTACAACCACAATAAAGGTATAATGGGTATAGGAGGGTTGATAAGATAAAGCAAGTTCTTTTATGGCTTATTTCCTGGCCTTGATCACTTGATACAGATCAAGATTACAACAGTTAATGGCTGTTATTTGGTGACGTTGGTCTCTGGGAATTTTGGTTGCTTCTCTTCAGGTCTTTCTCCCTCACTCCTCTCTTTGGTTATCTGATGCAAAGGACATAAAAGATAGCCCAATTAGGAAAACTTAATCCAAAGCAAGGTAGATTGAAGTGCTCTCATAAAATTCTTTGCATCAGAATTTTCACCATTTTATTTGAGGTCAAACAACCACTTAGAAAGGACATTTTCATCTCTTTGAACATTTAATAACATATATCATAGACAGCTCTGCCTGATACATTAATTATTAAAGATTTTACATTATCTACACTGGCAAGTTCATTAGGACCACTTCAAAGCTTCCCAGAGACTCAAAATGCTCAGGAAACAAGCATCAAACCTTTTGGCTTAACCGGAAAGCTCACTCTGCCTTCTCTTATTTAACTTATTAGCCATATATTATTCAAATGAAATAAATAGTGCTGCTTCCTCTGCTCATCCAGGCAAAGCCTGTAGCAGCAATCCACTGGCTCATTCAGCCTGGGCATGCACCAACCCCCATGCAATGCAGAGCCCCTCAGGGCTCACCCATGGGCTAAACACTGCTCCTGTTGGCTCAGGGGGTACTGAGATGCTCGCAGTGCTCAGAGCCAGGTCCCTGCAGACAGGCAGGACAGCAGCTCACATGGCACACTCACACCTCCACCTGTGACATGGCTGTTCACTGCAGAGGACTTGTCACCAGCACAGGCAGGAGATATCTGCACAATGCTTTGCGACATGAAAATATCTTTTCTTACAAGATCATTAGTCTTCTGGAATGAGGTTCCCATGCAGAATACCCATCAGTTTGTCATTATTAATTCTATCAGGAAGGAAAGCAAATTAGTCTAAATTTCAGTGCTCAATGAGTCAGAACCAGTTAGAAGTCACCTCTGGGTACAGAAACCTTAACAATGTGGCTCTGCAATACCAGGCACTCAGTAACAACCTAGAAGCTCTTCCAGACATCAATATTTTCCCTTCTGTTTTCTGCTTTCTTTAGCACATTTTTTAGGAGATGGGAATGAAGCTTTTTTTACCTTTATTAAATAAAGAACTTGATGAGGAAGACAGAATGGGGACACATTTTGGCCACCAGACAATGCAGTAAGGTGCTTTTGAGTGGTGGCTTAATTCATTTTAAATTACATAGAGACATCAATACCACATTGATAGTCTGTCCACAGTGATGCTTGTTATTTCTGCCCTGAGCTGGGTCCAAAGTAGAGAAAGTTAATAAAATTCAATCCTCCTGGTTTGTTCTCCTCTCTTGCTGAGGCTGTAGGAGGAGGGACCTGCTTTCACACTGTAGTTGTTTTCCTTGGACTGGCTGTGGACAGGCAGAATGGCATCTCTAGACCTGGAGCAACTGGGCCAAGTTCTGTGCAGATGCTGAGCTTTCCCCTTCCCTGTCCTCCCCCTGGTACACAGGGATCTGCCAGCAGCTTGATTATTTCATACTGTGCACGCTCCCCAAGTCACACTCCCACATACAAGAAGTATTTTCTTTCCTCCCTGTATTTGATTGCCACTGCTCCCACGGTCCATGAGCTAGCCCAAAGTGATATAATAATGATTTGCTGGCAAAAAATAATCAAACAAACAATTTCAGAGGCACAGGCTGATTACCTTGTGTTTAGCATCTGTCCTAAATTCAAACAAACTGAAAATGCTGCAGAACAGGAGAGGAGAAGGCGTCCCCACTTGGAGAGCTGAAAAGGCACATGACAAACATTTGAAATGTTTTGGACTGATCCTTTTCCCTTCCCTGGGCTGGTGCACAGCTCTGGCAGGTGCAGTTTTCCACAACCCTCTATTAAGAGCCACAGCCAAATTCAAAATCTAACCCCAAATTATTATTATTACTGTTATTGTGAGTCAGAGGAGGCTGAAAGGACTATTTCACAACCCTGATTGGATTCAGCTGCAGAGTTCACCATCAGCAAATGATGGTGATCATCGTGCCAATGTTGCAGTGCTTTTAAAATGTCCTGACACGTGCTTTAGTATGAACATTGCTGGATTCTGGCTGGTTTCCAAGAAATTAATCTTCTCAGCAAATATTCTGCAGGGTGAGCATAATGTGGTCTGTAACACAAATGCAAAACACGGCTGTAGTTTACCCTGAGGGGGACACTGATGTGTGATGAACTAAATGGGCCTTTTTGGCCCAGACTGCCAGGATTGTAGGAGTCCCTTGTGGGCAAGACTGAAAGATAAGGTGAGAATAATCGAGAAACAGCAATTAGCTTCACCCAAGGAGGTTAATGAGGAAAGAAATTTTCCTGTTATAACAGTCCTGGTCACCAGCCTCTCCCTTCCCTCTCTCTTGTCCCTCCTCAGGGACAGTCTGCAATGCCAGCCCCAGCCAATGATCCTTCCCAATGCTGGGATGCAGGTTGCAAACAGACCTTTTATTCTCTTCTGTTGGATTACAAGTTTTGCTGTGCTGTGTTGTACCCTACATTGTATTCCAGGGACCTGCAGTGTGGAGCACACCACAGTTGCTGGCCAGGCCTGACTGCAGGGGAGCTGGAAATGCTGAGTCTGGAGAACAGTCTGAGAGAAAAAGAAGCCAGACCCTTTCCAGATGTGCACAGCAAAAGGTCAAGGAGCGAGCTGCAATGCGAGAACTCTGCTTGGGTCTCTGAAATAAACCTTTTTGCCCCAAGGTGGTCAGCACTAGCACCAGCTGCCCAGGGTGGCTGTGCTCCTTTCTTGGAGATACTCAAAACCCCAAAGGACAGTCCCTACTCAGCTTGCTCTAGCTTTGAAGCTGGCCTTGCTTTAGCAGAGAGTTGGACTGGAAACCTCCAAAAGCTCACTGCTGCAGGCAAACCCCTCTTGTCTGGACACAGTTACAAAGCAGAGCTTTTTCTTTTGCTGTAGCCTTTCTTGGTGGTGATCTTCTCACATCTGCATTTCTGTAACAGCCTCCTGTTTCTGTCAGTAGGGTTCACTTACAGCCTATGATACACTGCCAGGGCAGAGCAGGGCCATGGAAGGTATTTTCATTAGGAAGCATGCATAGGAAATGACCAGATTTTCACAGAATCATCTAATAGTTTGGGTTGGAAGGGACCTTAAAGACCATCTAGTGTCAACCACGGGTACTGGACCAGGTTGCTCAAAGTCCCATTCAGCCTGGCCTTGAACATTTCCAGGGCTGGAGCATCCGCAGCAACCTGTTCCAGTGCCTCACCACCCTCACAGCACAGAATTCCTTCACAGAATGGAGTTTCCCCCTGTCCATCAGAGTGGTGCTGGGGGAGCCGGTGTGAGCCCCCGCCCCTCCTGCCCTGCCCCGGCTCCTTCTCCGCCCGCCTTGGGCCCGGGGCCGGGCGCGCTCGCTGCGAGGCTCCATCGCTGCTCCACGCTGGGTTTTGGAACTTCAAGGGCGAAGCGGATCCCGGAGGCGAGCACAGATGGAGGTGTGGGACAGGCGCCGTGCTCCGCTCCGGTCCCTCCCCACGGGCTGCAGCGCACTCCGGTGCCCCGGGCTCCACAGCGCCTTCCCCTCACCGGGACACGGAGCCCCGCGCCCTGTCCGGACAGCGCCGGCGGGGGACAGCGCCAGACGGGACGGGACGGGACGGGACGGGCGGTCCCCTCAGCGTTCAACAGGGCGGTCACGCCGGGCAGCGCGGCGCGGTGGCCGTGACGGTACCGGTGCCGGTCCCGCCCGCGCCCCGTGACATCAGCGGTGACGCGCTGGGGGCGGCCCTGGCGGCCCACGTGGGCGCTGACGTGGCGGCGGCGGGCGGGCCGGAGGCAGGTGAGGCGCGGCGAGCGGGGCAGCCCCGGGTGGGTGCCCCAGGCTGATGGCAGAGAGCGGGATCTGTGCCCGGGGCCCGGCCTGGGCACGGCTTTCCCCTCCAGCCGGTCTCCGGAGGGTCCCCAGGCCCAGCCCGGGTGCCCAGGCCCCGCAGGGGATCCGGCACTGACAGCCGGGCCCGGCCGGGGTGGCCAGGCCCAGGCGGCTCCGTCAGTCCTCTGGAGGGCTGGGGGAGGCTTTTAGCCCAGGTGGACACGAACATCTCCCTTACGAGGAGATCCGGTGGGAGCTGGGCCTGTTCAGTCTGCAGAAGAAAAGACTGAGAGGGGATTTCATCAATGCATGTAAATGGTTTGAAGGTGGGTGCAAGAGGATGGTGCCAGGCCCTTAGAGGTGGTGCCCAGTGACAGGACGAGGAACAATGGCCATAAGCTAAAACACAAGAAGCTCCACCTCAACATGAGGAAGAACTTCTTTACATTGAGGGTAGCAGAGCACTGAACAGGCTGCCCAAGGATGCTTTGGTGTCTCCTTCCCTGGAGACATCCAGAACGCACCTGGGTGTGTTCCTGTGTCACCTGCTTCAGGTGACCCTGCCTTGGCAGGGGTTTGGACTGGACCAGAGGTCCTTTTCCACCCTAACAATTCTGCTGTTCTGTCTGGTGAGTTTGAGGTGCTGCAGGTGCTGTGGAGAGGGGACAAGCAATGGCCTTGTGCCAAAGTGTATGGCTGCTTGGGCTGCCCTGTGTGCAGGGAAGCAAGAGCAGCCTGCCTTTGAGGTGGTGCTGCTGGCTCCTGACTATCCAAGCCAATGTGCTTATTTTGAACAACACTGTTCATAAAAGAGAAAGTGGAGAGGAAATTATCACAAGGATGAGCATATCTGAAGAAAACATGACATAAACGCTCAGGGTGGTCTACACAGCAGCCACAGGCAGACCCAGCTGCAGCCAGAGCTGCTGGCCTTGCTTCCCTTCCCCAGAGTGGCACTGGCACACACCCTGACACAGGGAGCCTGGTGGCCCTGGCCATTGCTGGCACTGGGGCTCACAGCAGCCCATCACTGTGCATGCATGTGGGAGGCAGGAGGACGTGTCTGCTTCCTCTGGCAGCATTTTCGCGGTTGCTCTTTGCCCCATGTGTCTGATGGAGATGCTGTCCAGGCAGGATCTGGTCTGGGCTCTTGGAGAGCTGCCTCCTGCAGTCTGAGTGAGGTGTAGATAATATATGTCTAGACAGTGGCAGATTTTGGGATCCAGCTCTGACTCTTGTCATGCTACAGTGGTACTTTGCATGTTACTCCTGCTCTGCCTTAATTTCCCCATCTGTAGTATGGGGAGTGGGCCCTGATAGAGTGACTAAGAAAACAAATTGGCATAAACCAGCACACGCTTGCAAGATTTAATCATAAATCTTGACAAGCAAATGCCTGACCCTTGACATTCCCTGTTCCCTCATGGTTCACCCTCAGTGCATCTCTAATCTTACCACCAAGAACACAGTGTTCATGCATGTTCAGCTCAGGCTGGGGGATGAGAATGTTTTATGGGCGGGCAAAGTTTGTTAGCCACTTCAGTTTTGCCCTTTGCTTTCTCAGGCCTGGTGGAGCTTATGAAGGCCGAGCAAAGAGCTGGATGGTATTTTGTGTGAGCAAAGACTAGTGGCATCCAGACGTGGGGAACTGCAGAGACAGGTAACAAAGGAGCCTGATACCTTGGAAAAAGTTGGGGCAGGAAATAGGGGTGGTTCTTGTACTGCTACAGCCACTACCTTAATTTCACCTGTGTTTCGTTTTAATCTGATTAAATAATGATAGAAGTAATGATAGAGAAGCTGTTTTAACTTTGTAGAGGCTTGTAATTATGGCCAAGAAAGGAAGAGTAACCTGTTAAGGCTTATAGGGGTGACCAGAGTAAATGGCTACCAACTATCTCTGAGAAAACAGCTTCTATTTCTCTGGAAACTGAAAACAATTTTTATTGTAAAGTTTGTGAAGAATCTTTTGAAAGCCATTTCTTATAATGTGGGGGTTATCCAAAGTTGAAGTACTCCTTAAGTTGGGTTTTGATGCTAATCTACCTTAGTTGTGTTTTTAATATTGAAAGCAAATCTTTCAACGGTTAGAATACTTTTAAAATTATTTTTTTTTTGTCCTTGAGAGAATCTCATCTTGCTAAGAAAACCATGGCTTGTCAGCAAGGAGCTTTATTAAAAGGCAAAGCCTTGTCATGCCCTGCCTATTTATATGAGACTTCTAGACTCCTGGAGACAAAGCACAGGCCAAGAAAGGAAGCTGTGTCCTTATGAGTTTGTAGAAGGAGATTCTTTTCTGCTGGCTGGTCACTATGTTGTTGTTCTCTCTCCTGTGTGTTTCACTCTATCTGAACATAAATCAGCAGCAATGTTATAGAGTATTACAGCAGCTCACTGTGGAGGACAAACAGAAACAATCACAGTATTGTAAAGTTCAGTGTAGCTTGCAAACACTGTATAAAACAATGACACTTGTGCTGGAAATAAATCTGAGGTGGAATCCCCTGCAAAGGGATGAGATACCAGTTTGAGGATAAACCAGTATGGTGCCTTTTGAGATTGATTTGCTTATTGTGTTCTGGGTTTTAAAAGACTGTACCTGTGTACCTGACTCTGTGGGCAGAGTCAGTCTCATACAAGTCTGGTATGCTCTAAAGTTCCTGTGATGAGACATGTGAATGGTGGTCTTGGGTTTTCTTTACACCTGAATGCACCAGATCTTGATTCAGGTTGTGATTTGGTCACAGGGCTACTGTGTGACCTCGGTCAAATCAAACCTTGTGAAAGGGAGGCAGCTTTTCTGCCTTCCTGTTCAGATGGCAAACATCTCAGGGGAAGGACTGTGCCTTATTGTGTTTTGCCATAAGAGTGTAATGTCATCTGGGACTCCTGGTAGCTACTCAGGTGTAAATAGAATAAGTGCCTGGATAAGCAAAAAATGTTTGAGACTTGCATGCTGTTTGCTTCTCCCCTCTATGACCCATTTGTAGACATGGCTGTGAAATGAGCTGTGAAATTAACTGGTCAGAATAAAATACTTTATAGCATGGCCTTCAAGCAGCACATAACCCACCTTGCCCTGGAAAGCGACAGCATTAAAGTTATAAGAGTTCTTAAAAATGTGAGAGGCCTGGGGAGAAAACTGGGAAGGGAATTATCCCTCTTTGGGAACACTTTGGAGATATGAGTGAAGAAAAAGGTGGAGAACCTCTGAGGTTCAGGCTGCTTGATTTTCCTGGTTTTTCTGGCCAGTCATCCTCTGCAGCCAGCATGTGCCTCCCACTGCAGCCATCTCTCGTGCCAGCACAGCAGCAGGGCCTGGTGCGTCACTGTGCTGGCGCTCACAGCGGGCACTGGCTCGTGAGGGTTTGGGGGAGCACATGGAGAGGTTGGTGTTCACTGCAGTTCCAAAGACTCATCCATTGCAAAAGCACACCCAGGGAGGCTGGCCTGTGCCCTTGGTTTTCCCTCTGATCTGCTGTGTGCCATCCAGGCTGTGCCCCACTCCTGCCTGACACCAGCTGAGATCTGCAGAGCATTTGCCAGAGGTCTTTAGAGAATATTCCCACATTCCCATAAGCATCCTTGGTTGTCCTCTGGCAGTCACTTTGAGAGCTCAATGGGCTGTTCCTCCTGTTACAGCTAGGTTCTTGCTAGGTGAACTAGTGTGCAGCCCTGAGGTCAATGTAGCCAGTGAATACATCCCTCTGAATGTCCTTGGGAGCAGATTTCTTTTGTCTGAGTTAATTCAGTCAGCAGTTCACGATGAAACTCTGGGCTACGTAAAACATCTAAAAGTTACATGTATAATTGGTCCATTTCTGAGTTCCTAATGGGCATGTCTTCCTCTCCCAGCAGCCTGTGCTCCTGTGGTGTATAAGCCACAGCATCCCTAGCCCTAAAGTGAAAAGACTGAGAGTTTCTCCAGTGCACTTGGTAGGTGGGGTGATTCTGATCTGTGTGTACTTGGCTCCCATGCCAGGACCTTTCCTGGCTGTCACAGGGCATGTCTGAGGTGCTTTGTTCCTGATGCTCTCCACGTGCAAGAAGGGGTTGACCAGTGCATTAAGCTTATGTGTATCACCACAGGGCATGCCATCCTTCACCAGGTGGGAAGGATCCTTTCCAGGACAGGCCAGCTTTGACTCTCTGGCCTTAACCTGATTTCTTGTTATCAAGAAATGAAGGGACAAGACAGGTGAAATTCTGGTCTGAGAGGGGTGATGTTGGCACAGTTGTCCTCAAGGGGAGTTCCCAGTGGAAACAGCTTCCTTCAGCCTGTGCACGTGGGTGACCTGGGATGGCTGGAGAAACACTGAAGTTTTGTGCTCTGTTTTAGTTGCAGGTAGGAAGATGAGTCCGAAAATTACAACAGAGCTGCTGAAGCACCTGCGACAGGTGATGAAGAACCCCAGATATGTACAGGAGCCTGTCCAAGCCTACATAGTGCCCTCTGGAGATGCCCACCAGGTATGGATGGATGCATTATGGGAATGGTCATACTTTCCTTCCCTGCAAAAATTAAAAGCCAGGTATTACTAAAATCGTCCTTCGTTCACTCACTTTAATGGTTCTAGCATAAAAGTCTGGGAAACCTGAGAAATATCATGTTGGAAAACATTTCTGGGGTCTGTTCAGGAGATGGAGGTTTTTATGTTCTTGTAACAAATCAGGGTGGGTGTTCCACCAACAGCTTTTCATCACAGTGTCTTCAGGGAGCTCACATGGCAGAAAAGGGAGCTTGCCAGGGCACTTGCTGTGCCCATCCTGGCTGTTGGGAAGAATGGGTTTACTGGGGGAGGAACAGGCCTTATCTGGGCTTTACTTTCCCAGTAGCATCTCTCTCAAGCAAGGTAGCAAAGGTTTAGTTGCAGAGTTTTCTCTTTGCTAGATCCAGTTCTTGGTGGAATTTGTTGCCTTATGCTGGAGCCCTTCAGATCCCAGATGAAGGGGCCTTAGGAGAGGCAGGGAAGGAACAGGCCACAGTGGCAAGTTGCCTTTCCATGCTGCTCTGTGCACTAAAGACAGGAGGCAAGTCTGGGCCCAGGGTGGTAACCCATGGCAGTAACTGTTGTGTGCTGCTTCCACTGTTAGGAATTTTGTAGTCCATGACATAAATTTTAAATTGCTGAACTGCCTTTTACCTCCCCTGCTTGCTCATGTGTAAGGTTCACTCTGTTAGGAGACCCAAGAACTGCTGAGGGTTTTCCCCTCCTCAGCCATTTTCAGGAAACAAAAGACCTGAAGCTTTACTGGCACACACCCAAAGCTCCCTTTTACCCCAGGGTGCACAAGAGCAAAATGCAACTGAATCAGAACCTTTGCCCTTGACTTGGCACTGGGGTGAGCCGGGTCCAGACTTGCCTGTGCCCTGGGACCATGTGTGCAGCATCGTGTTTCCTCATAGGGAGATCCAAACTTGGGCAGGTAGGGGGAAGGCGTTTTCTGCAGCTGCTATTGTCTGCTGCATTCCTGCCTCAAGCTGCCTCTGTCCATATATAACTCTGGTTTCATTTCACTAGACATTAAATGCTGTCATGTGAGTTGAAGAATGTGACCCTCAGGACTTCTGGGTTTTTCTGTTGCTTTCTTTTCCTTGACAAAGTGCAGTTAAGCAGAGAACCCCATGTTGCTATTTCCTGCCAGGCGAGTTGGTCAGGTTTCTCTGCAGAGGGGATCTATCTGAATAGGAATGATTACTAAAAACTGCTGATTCTGGTGCCTCCTGAATAGCTGGTGCAGGATTTTTTTCTGTAAGGGTTGGGAATTGATGCAGTTTTTGCCAATGACAGAAACCTGTTGATCCCAGAACAGCCTTATTGATTCCAGGTAAATTGTGATGACCTGTGATTTGAAACTTCTCCATGTTCCAAGCAAGGGTTTGTTTCCTGTGTGCAAACAAGAACTTTACAGCCTTGCAGTCAGATTTTGCTCTTAGGCAGCTCCCTCCATGAGTCAGAATACTGTAGTTTAATGATACCCAAGTGTTTGGTGGCCTAAGCCATTTCCTCCCTACAGTCCAAACAAGATATTTATTACTGTCCTTGCCTCTCTCAGCTATTCCTGAGGCTGTCCTGGCATCTGCATCACAGAACTTGTCAACAAATAGGGCTTTCCCTCCTGTGGTGTTGCCACAGGGTTTAGATTGCGGGAAACTTTATTCCCTTCTGGGTTGCAAAAGAACCCTTGGATTGGACTGATGCTGATACACCCTGATGCTGCAACTTGCTGACTAATTTCACTTTGTAACACTGGGAATGTTGATGAGCTCTGAGTTCTGTGATGCTTTTAATATTCGTTTTCCTGCCAGGCTTGGTGGCTTAGATTATTATACTGCCAGGAGTCTTGCTACCAGTTGTATCCTTTGCTTTCCATGTTTAGTTGTGTAAGGAACTGAAAGACTTGAAGAGCTTCTCAAACACACCTGCCTCTGACTCAGACTTAACCAAGGCTGCCTTGGATTTGTGGCTCTTACACTCAGCCCTGGATATTGGTTGGCTGTTTTAATTTTTGAAAACTTTGATGCTGGTGATAAGAAGTCAGAGAAATAGTCTCTTTCCTTGGGGGCCTGGGTGGTCCAGAGGCTGATGAGAAAGGAGGACGATCCCAGCCAAAAGTGGAATGAAACTCAAAGAGTCCCACTTCCTTTCATGAGTGCTGGGTGGCTACAGGTACCCAAGGATCATGAAGGAATGAAAAACCATGGTTTTAGGAATGAGGTGCCTAAACCCTCTGTGGTTTGGTTAAAAATGTCAGGGCTTTTGGGATGTTGCAGTGGTAAAAGCAGGATCCATTTTTATGTTGAGTCAATGTGTGTTTACACTGAATCTGGAGTCTGCCCATATGGGACTCTTCAGAGACTGGAAGAGCTGCTTCTTAATGGGAGGGAATGAGGTTTGGATTACAGCTTGGGTTTGGAGCCAGTCACAGCTTAACTGCAGCTGGCTTCACCCTCCAGGCCTTGACTCAAAACAAATTTGGTCAGATTTGGCTGGTTGTCCCCATGAAGGAAGCACCTGCCCAGCTTAGGGCCCCGTGTTTGGGTTGGCAGTGGTGCTGTCTTCTGCTCAGGGCTGGCTCCTCTGAGACACACTTGTGCTAAGCTGAGGAATCAGCCAGGTTATAAAGCAGGAGATGGCTTGTGCACAGGTTGCTCTGGTGTGTTCCAGATTTTAGCAATGCAGTTGTGTTTTTGGCAGTGAATGCCTCCCTCCCTCCAGGTACACTGCAGCGTTTGTTCTTTAATGACACCAGTGTCATGCCTCTAAGGGTAGCCAGATGCACTTTGCATTGCTGATCTTGGTTGACATTAGACTAGAATGAGCTTCAATGTGTTTACAGCACAACCATGCAGGCTCTGGGGATAAGCAGCACTGATTTTTTGGGGGTTCTTCCTGGCTTAGATGAGGGGTTTTTGTGATGTAGCCCCCAGTTTTGTCTGTGTGACTGACAGATGTGGTGAGAAGCAGATGTGAAAGGACTGAGGAGGGCCAGGCTGAAGGCCATCAAAGCTGCAAGACAAGCCCCAGGGAAATACCTTGTTCTCACTGTGCTGTGGTCTATGCTTTGTGTGGCATACACAGGTGTTCCCCATGTAATTTTAGCTTGTGCAAAACATGGGCTCATCTTTACACAGTGGGGGTTGCTGCATGGAACAGAACAGGTGGGTGTGCAGGAATTCAGACTGGCATGAATGAACTGTCTTTCCCTCCAGATCCCTGATACTCCCTTTTAAAGCTCTTCTGCCTCATTGTAAACACTCAAAGCACTCCCTGGTCTGTGAATGGGATGGTTTTCACAAGCGTGAGGTTTTCACAAGCAAACCAGCCTGTAGTCTCTTCTGTGTTGGTCAAGAGAAATGGAAAATAAATCACTGCTCTCATTTGTACATCATTTGGGATGTATTTAAGTGATGTGATCCATGATGGGAAGTTTCCAGGATCTCCTGTTGGCATTGGACCCTGGGAGATATGTCCCACCTTTGAGCTGGGAAGTGTAGGAGAGGGGAGGCATAGCAGTCAGCAGGCTGAATAGTGTGAGTGTTGAAAGGAGGAATCCTCAGGTCTGGCTTCTCTCTGCCTTCTTGTTCTGTCCTGCTGCTCTGAGGCAGGCAGTGGGGAAACAGACACTTGATTCTGTTCCTCAACAGCTTTGTCCACTCTGTCTGCTGATGCCTTTGCCATTATTTTAAAGGGGCTCAGAGGTGATCATGTGCTGTGTGGGGCTGAGGGATCCACCCCATCAGCTGGAGCTGGCTAAGGGCACTCATCCTTTCCCAAGGTGGCTATCCTGACCTTCCTTCTCCCCACAGGAGACGTGTGACATGCTGAACATATCACAGCCCTGTGGGGCTGAACAAGAAAAGGCACAGGAAACTAACTGGGCCCTCATGGTCTCCATACCTCCCTCCTTTCTGCAAACTTTCACTAGTGTTTGGATAAAATGGAGGATTTCTTTGGAGTATATACCAGGAATCTTCCCTGGCAATTGGGAGCAAAAGCCACTCAACAAGATCCTCTAAGATTTGCTGTCCCAAGTTTCAGTTTCAAAATGTTAGTGGTGGATGGTTGGTTGGCTTCTGCCAGGAGGGGACAGACATGGCTGTTGTGGAAGGGGTTTGATGATGGAGTGATTTGGAGCAGAAATAAAGGTCCCAGGTGCTGTAATTTGTGCTGCTCACTCATTCCTGTGCTTTGAACCCTGTCTTCCTTAGAACAGTGAAGAGTAACAGATTTGAAGGGAGTATATTTTAACAATCAGGTGATTCTATCACAGTAGGGACTAAAAGCACCTGAGAATTGGGCTGTGATTTCTTAGCTCAGTTCCTAAGATGTTTCTTTTGCCCCAGCACAGCTGGGGGCAGAGAAACAGACTTGAATTTCAGGCCATTTGTAAGGTACAAATCCAGGGGTTTTGCAGCTCAAACGTCAGTGCTGTCAGCCTGGATTAAGCTGATTTGCTGATTTGCACTAGTTCATTAACAGGCCTACTCAGCAGTTCTGACCTACAAACTTGCCAGAATGGAATCCCATAAAAAAAGTCATGTGGGTCATGTGAAGGTTCAGTTGTTTTAATTTTGGCAGTTCCTGTTAATATCAGGTGTCTGTGCATTCTCAGGCTCTTCAACATTTTGAAACGATGTATCCAGAAACACAGGTTGTAACAGGTTTAGGATCAAGATGAACTCTTATTCCCTCTCATCCATCAAACCATGCTTTTGTGGTTTTGGCTGTAGTCTGATTTTGAGTAGGCAAGGAAGAAGTGAAAGCATCAGCATCTATTTGTCCCAAGTGTTAAATGTTTTACAGTCTTACCACCTTGATGATTTTCTTTCAGTGTCACTATTGCAGGAAAAGAAAAGTCTTAAAGGAATTCTTATAAATGCCTATAAAGTGAGGGGGCTTCAGTGGAGATAGTGAATTTTACAGATTTTATGTGCTGATTACCCCAAGAACAAGGGGTGCTTCTGGTTTCCCTTCCCTTCACGTTGCAGCTTCAAAGGCATGATTTGTTTGTTGCCCAAAGGGGAGGCTGAGTGTGAAATAAACGTCTGCAAACTCTGAAGCACTTCAGTGTTTACAGATGTTTGTGGGAGAAAAGTGCTGCAGCTTAAAAAAACCCACCAGTTGAACATAAATACAGTATAATCACAGTGGAATAGAGCCCAGGAATTTTTAACTCATTTTGTTCTCTCTGTGGTGTCCTTTAGGAGAAAAAGCTTATCAAAGTATTTGTCATCAGCTGATTGTTTTTTTCCCCTGCTGCTATAAATAATTGCTGCCTCTTTTGTTTTCTAGAGCGAGTACATTGCACCCTGTGATTGCAGAAGGGCGTTCATCTCTGGATTTGATGGCTCTGCAGGTACCTTTCCAGAACTTGGGTTCTTGCATAATTTTCCTCTAAAGAAATAGTTCCTTTCATGGCATAGAGGCAGGATGGAAAAGAAAATCTATCCAGCTTGTTTGGACTGTTTTATTCCCATTTCAGCATCTGCAGAATTATGTCTTGGCTACCCGCTGGAATTATGTAATATCAGCGGAATAACAAGTTTTCACAAAATGTGTGACCCCTAAATGAACCTCTCATAAAGTAAAATCCTGTTAACTGTTTCATGTGGTGCCTGTAACCTGTGGTCATTTCTTTTGATGTGCAGCCAGTATGAACAGATTTTTACGTTGCCCGTTTGGGCTGGGTGAATAGTGGATGGGCTTTAGCTGGCCTTTCTGTTTGAACAGAGCCAGGGCCAGAAACTCTGCATTTGGAAACTGAGCACTGTGGAAAAGTTTGCTTATCTTGCCGAGACAGGATGTTTTCTTGGCTGTAGGATAGGTCTGTGTTTCAAGAGACCTAGTTTTTACCCTAGCTCTACCCTAAGCTGTGCAAATTACTCTGTTCTGTGGTTGTTGGAAAGTCACTTTAGTCTGCTGAAGTTATTTTCCCCTCTAATTGTATATCATTTTAATAAATACTGGTACCTATGTTTGGAGGGTCTATTCATCAGTTCCTATGAGCTCTGGGACCTCATTTGGAAGGTGATAAATCCAGGGCTGTGGGCTGCTGTTAATGGCTAACATGAATCCTGTATTAATTCTGCTCCTTCTGCACAACCGCTTCATAACCTTCCTCTCTAATTTTGCCCTTGTTATGTACTTGGAAGGTCTGTTCCCAGCCTAATGCACAGTGAGGTTTCACACAGGGGCTCACCTTGTGTTTCTTGCTTCATCTTTTCAGGCTGAAGCAACTTAAATGGGGTTTGTGTTGGGAGAATTTGGTAGAAGACAATGAGTTAATAATTGGAAACTCTACTCTGCTAATCTGAGTATCAGTTTTTTGTGACAGAGTATTGTCAAGATACAGACTCCAAAGACTTGGATTCAGTTTCAGTTTGTGCCATGGTTTGTTTTGTTTTGTATTGTCAAGGGCAAAGCAGCTTGAGTGCCTTGCTGGGATGTCACTGCCCCTCAGCTGTCTGTTTGCATCCCTCCATCTGGAGTCAGTGGAATGGGACAGACAATGAAACCAGCAGAAGTTTATGTTCATGTTTCCTGTTCAGCCATCTCTGCTAGAGCTGTAACATTTGGGAAAGGGGTGCAGCTGACATCTGGGGGTGATACCCGTGTCTGCAGGCCTGCTATCAGCTGTGTTTTGTGGGTGGCCAGAGCCCAGGCTTCCTCTCCAAAAGAGGCTGGGATGGAATTCAGAGATGTACAGTATATGTTACTGTGACAGCAGCCAAGTTAGACCACAGTCTCTGTTACAGAAGGTTTGGAAAGCCCCACTTACCCAGTTCCACTGGCTGGCTGAGATTTGCTTAAGTTGAGTTCATCTGAGGCAATTCATTAAGGTGCATCCTTGTGCATACTGTCTCCAATAGGATTTGGAAGGTCACAGTGCAGGGGAAACAGTGAATATCTCCACTGAAAAAGGAGTAACTTGAACAGTGATCAGAGGTGCCTTTTAGGGAATTAGGGTGAATTTCAAACCCTGTCCCTGCTGTCTGTGTCTCTGCATGGTGGCTGCCTGACCTGAATCCCCTTTCTGCCTCCCTGCCTAGGTACTGCCATAGTCACCGAGCAGCACGCAGCCATGTGGACTGACGGACGCTACTTCCTGCAGGCTGCACATCAAATGGATAGCAACTGGACACTCATGAAAATGGGTATGCAGGAGCTTGGGGTACTGCTCCACTGATCAACAAAGAACAGACACTTCCCACTAGTACAGCTTGTGCTGTAGGGATATCCCATCTTGCAGGGACTTTGGGACATGTTGGATACACAGCTTCTGCTTTAGTGTCCTGTGAGAACTCTTGCCTCTGGGTCTAGACATTCATTAGTAGACATATCTAATGCATTAGCTTGGACTTTTTGCATAACGTGGGAATGTTTCAATGTGACTGCTTCTTTGAACTTTTTTTTTTTAATCCTTGAAGGTCTGAAAGATACACCAACTCAGGAGGATTGGCTAGTGAGTGTCCTCCCAGAAGGCTCAAAGGTGGGAGTGGACCCTTTCATTATCCCAGCAGGTTGGTTTTACTTTATACTCATAACTCTGGGTAGTGCAACTGGATTTTTCTTCCTTTCTTCTCTGGCTGAGCTGTTGTGTGATGGTGTGCACCTAACCATGTTTCAGATGTAGTGGTGGTTAAACTGTTATGCAAAACAAGTTGGATTTTGGTTTAACCACATATCACAAGAATTACATTGCAGTGCATTGACTCCAAAGCACAAGGGATGAGAACTGCTTTCTAGGCTTGCAGTGACTTTACCTGAAAAGCAGAATTCTGATCACCTCTTTTTGTCTGTGCTTTGGCTTGTCATGGGCACTTCAGTACAAAAGTGATGAGTGCCTAGGTCAGCATGTGAGCAAGAACACCCAGGCACAATTCAAGCTGTTATTCCTGCTTGGTGGCCTTGGGATCTCTGCAGCCTTCCCTGTAGGAAACACAGGGAGAGATATCATTTATATCAGAGTAGCCATCTATTCATGCTTCAGAACATGAGGCACAATGCAAAGGTCACTGGAGGCAAGGGGAGATACTTGCTTGTTCAGATGGATTAAGGACCTGTCTTGTGGCTGTGTGGAAGTGACTCTTATCTTGTCTAGCTTAGATCTAGCATGGTTCTGCACTGGGGGAGAGGACAACCTTAGGGCAGCTTCTGCTGTGGCTTCTTCCAGAGACTTCTGTCTCCCAGCTGGAGCAGTTCTTCTTCAGCTCAAGAATGAGGCTTCAGTACCTGCCACTGGCTTCTGTGGCATGTTTGTGGAACTGTAACTGCAGTAGATTTTGCTGCCTTTTTTAAGGGAATGGGAAGAAAAAGAGGCTGGAAAGAAAGGAGAAGACTGAATTTTGAGTTTGACCTTTGTGAAGAGAGCTGTTGTTGAACATATGTGTGTTCCTTAAAGCCCCCACTCTTGACTTTCTTCCCTTTGGCAGACCAGTGGAAGAGAATGTCCAAAGTCTTGAGAAGTGCTGGCCATGACCTTGTGCCTGTCAAAGAAAACCTGATTGATACAATCTGGACAGATTGCCCTCAACGCCCCTGCAAGCCTCTCATCACACTTGACCTGAGTTATACAGGTGAGGAGCTGAACTCCCAATAGACATAGGTTGTTCCTATTGCCCTATATCCCCCTTTTGCTCTTCTCTTACAGAGGAGAGTTAAACAGTACCACAGCACAATGTGGTCACTGTGAATAGGTGAAGAAGGTGATCAAACCTTAGCTAATGACCCCTCTGTCCTCAAAACTTCAAATAACCATTTTCTAGAAGTTGGACTTCAGAACAAATCCACAGGCATCTAGAACGCAGCTCATTTGAGATAGTTCATATCACTTATTAGAAAGGAGTGAGGAGCACAAGTATGATATGATATGTTAGTCTGTGTTTACATCATCATCCCCAACAAAGTTAGAGACTGTAGCTTTTCCTGTTGTGTTTTGCAGGGGTCAGCTGGAGAGACAAAATTGTAGCCCTCCGTTCAAAAATGGCTGAGAGGAAAGTGATGTGGTTTGTGGTAACAGCCTTGGATGAAGTAGCATGTAAGTCTTTGCATCTCTTTTCTCAGTTCTTTCTACAAAATAAATGTTCTTCCTGCCTTGGAAAGGAAGAATCATGCCAGGGTGAGAGGCCCTTGTGAAAGCATGTTTGTTAGACATGAATTAACTTCCTAGCAAGTGCAGCGGTGGTAACAAGTCAAAAACAGCAAGCCTGTATTTCTGCACAATGCCTCATTACACCAGTGCAGCTCCTGAGTACAGTTTTGGCCCAGGAAATGCAGCAAATCACCACCTTTGAAAAACAGCCCAGACAAAGGGAGAAGGTCACAAAGCCTGAGGCAGTGTGATGGAAAGAAAAAGACCTGTGAGATTTTCTGGCTGTTAAATATCCTGATGCTGCCTCACCCATTGGAAAAATGGAGACTGTTTTCTGCTGTGGAGTCTGGGCTATAAACAAAGCAGTGCAACATGTGGCTTTGTATACATAAAGCAAGGGTGGGGTACACCACATTCACGGGAGTGTAATCTTCCTAATTGTCACAACTTCTTAAGTCAGTCTCTACCTCTCCAGTGTTCAGCCACTGCTTTGGTTAAAAGAAGTATGTCAGGGCTCAACTTGTTTTTCCAGATCATTTCAACCCAGGGTCTCACTAGAGTCCCCTCTGTGTTTGGGGCCCCAGGATGGCTGGGTCTCTACACCCTGGCTCCCAGCCCAGTGTGTAGGAAGGGAGAATGGCCAGAAACAGCAGTGATTTCCCCAGAACTGCTGTTCCTAGGACTGTGTGTCCTTTTTGCAGAAATCATCAGTGCACACACTGCTGTAGGGGGAATGTAACACTGGCAGGGTGTGAGTGCTGCTCAGCCTGGGCCCCGTGTCTGATCTGGAAAGGTAGAAATGGGGGTGCTGTTTTCCTCACTCCAGCACTGCCAGCACAATGTCCCTGGCACTGGGTGAAGCCAACCTGATGAGGTCCCTGGGCTGTTCTGGATCTGGGACACTGAGCAAAGAGCTTTTTTTGTGAAAGAACTACTTCTGAGAGTAGTGAATATGACTCCTCCCTGGGGAGGCCTGCATGAGCAGAGATTGTATGTCTTACCTTTTCAGGCGCATCTCCAATTAAATTAATGATAAATTGGTGCCCTGAGGTGGTTTCAGATTAAATGTCTCCAGCAAAGTGAAGCTTGGTTATGAATCAAGTGTGTTAAGATGAACCAGAGAAGGCCACGAGAGCAGCTCATTTTTGGGTGCCTGGTTGATTTCTTATCCTACAGGGGGAAGGGGAGAAATTGTTTTAATTTTATCTAATTCAGTTCACTGTGTTAAACTCCAGGCAAGTTTCTGGGGACAGAAAAAGAGCCACAAAGGAGATTGTTGCCGTCTTACTGCATTGGGAGTTGGCTGAGCGAGGAAGTTTGTACCCATGCACTAAAAAGTTCTTTGTGTCTCTTTCCTGCATTCAAGTGACCTGCTGCTTCCCTGGAGAGAATTAAGCTCTATTTTTACTTTCATGGCAGAATTTGCACAGTTCGATGAATACAGTGCTGGGTTGTAATTTAGGACATGTTGGTTCTTTTCCCAGCTGTCCTGCTGGCTGGCCTTATTGGCTTGAGTAACTTATTTCAGCTAATTGGATACCCTGGAGTTTTTATTTGACCCTAAAATCAGGATTTTAGAGATGCTGGATATCCACTTCTCCTCTTGACTTTGCCCGGAGTTGTGTGGGACAAAATCTTTGTGAAAAATAGCTAAGACTGTACAGTCTGAATCTGAGATATTGGAGGGGCCCAAATGAGAGGCCTTTTTGGGGTATTGTAGTCTTGCCTATTGTGTTTTCCTCTTACCTCAAATGTCAAAAGGATTGGAATGAAATGATAGTTTGTAACCTTGAAGTTTTCTGGCTGTTACAAAGTGAGCTTTTATTGCATTGCACGGACCAGAAAGGGCAGACCCTACCTTTGGTACTCGTGTCCTTGTCTTTCGTTGCCTGTACCTGCTTTTTTCCAAGCCAGCCCTCCTTTAGAAATTTAACACCAGTTTAAACACCCGGGAGTGTTCATGCTGTAGTTCTGGTGCCATCTCCTGGCACAAATTTGGGATTGCCAGGAATGAAGCAGGCTGTGGGACAGCTGGGTGGGAGCTGGACTCACAGCCTGCACCCACGATGTCTCATTGCTTGCCTGTGTTTTTGTGAGATTATTTTTGGCTTTCTCTGATGTTGCAGAAGATGAACCAGGACTGTGATTCTTGGTGTTCTTATTTTTCAGGGCTTTTCAACCTCCGAGGCTCTGATGTCGAGTACAATCCTGTGTTTTTTGCATACGCCGTCATAGGAATGAACACAATCAGGTGCTTGTATTCCCTTCCCCAAGATGCATTTTTCTGGGGGAGAGCTGTTCTAGCCAAGTATTTGTCTTTTCAAAACCACCTATGCTTGGTACTTTAGTGTCCTTCCTGAGCTCTTTTGTCTCCAACACTCGTTACCCTCCTCCCCTGATCAGAGCTAGAGAGGCAGCCAAGAGCTCTGCTGCGCTCCTCAGCACCTTGGCTGGCTTTCTGGGTGACCTTGGGCATGATGGCAGAGTCCTCTGTCTGTCACCCTGAGATAATGTGCAGGGCCTTTGGAGCTCTGGGTGAAATGTGGCTGGCCTGGACATCACAAACTTTAGGGAAAAGTCTTATTGCTGAGTCACTTCAAAACTGCAGGGACAGTGCAGGAAAGTTTCAGGGCTTATAACAGAAGGCTTCTTTCCTTTGACTGCCCCATATATTGAGCCTCAGCAAGCACAGTTCCTTTGGAGGCATCTGTAAGCTGCTACCTAGGTCCATCTAAGGTAAAACCTAGCTGGGTGGGTGAGTACAGGCTGTGTGAAGATTGAGCTGAACTTTTCAACTTGGTGAAAGTGAGAGCAATGTGATACTTAGAACTACAGTAGCTTTTCTCTTTCCAGATGGTGCCCTTAAAAGTTAGAGAGAGGCTGTTACTTGCCTCTGTTACTTTCCTGTTTCAAGCACAGTGATGGGATGTAGCCATTTTGACTATGTCATACAAATAGAAATGCTATCAGCTCCTCCCTCTCATTGGGGTGGCACATCTTAATTTCAAGCTGGGATTTAAACTGTGTTAAAGCTGGTGGTTAAAATGACATAGGACAAAGTAGAGTGCATAATTCATTATTTCCTTTCTCCCTGAAATGTTGCCAGAATGGTTTTTCCTTCCCTCCTTTATTCCAGCCACTGTTAGATGTTGTCTCACCTATTTGATCTCTCCAATTTGTTTCTCAGGCTCTTCATTGATGGTGACAGGATGATGGACCCAGCTGTGAGAGAGCACTTACAGCTTGACTCCACCCTGGAACCCGAGTTCAAAATCCAGGTGCTGCCCTATGGATCTATCCTGTCAGAGCTGCAGGCTGTTGGTGCAGGCCTCTCACCCAAGGAGAAAGTGTGGCTCAGTGACAAAGCCAGCTATGCTCTGACTGAGGCCATTCCCAAGGTCAGTGGCCCTAGCAGGGGAAAATGCTTTTCTCTTCTCTGCTCATTGTGGTTAGCAAGGGTGTTAATGAGGGCAGCTGGCCTCAGTTTCCCCTCTGCAAAACCCAATGCAGGCTGGAGCTTGTGCAGAAGGGACCCAGCCATGCTGAGGTATTGAGGAGTTGTTAATTCTGGGGTTGCTCCTGCTGGAGCTGCCCTTCCAACTCGCTAAGCCGATTTATCCAAAGAATTGTCAGCTTAAGATAAAACAAGTTCAGTGAGAGAGGGGAGGGAAGAGTCAGCAGGGTGAACTCAGGTCATTCTGCCCATGGGTGGAGCATCAGCCTCATGTGGATGAGCAGCAAGACCTGGGAACTTGCAGAAATTGAAGCAGGAAAGTTAAGCAGGACTTGTGGGAGAGTGCATTTGGCTTGATTTGAGTGTCTGAGGGTGGTTGCCCTTATTTAGTTCAGTGGCTTGAGGATATCAGGCAATATGTGATGTCCTTTACTGAAGGCAGGAGGGAGAAGATGACAGTTGTTGTAGCAGGGAATCTTGTGAGGACACAGATAACCTGCAGGCACTGGTTGTCCATGCACTTAGTGCATCTGCTGAGAGACAGTTGTAGCATCAGAATAATTTCTGCACAGCCATACATGCTGTATCTTGCTATCCTTTTGAACTTGCTGTCTGGGACTTCCTCTGTCCAACTAATATTCTAATAGCCATGAAAGATACCTGGGGAAGGAAGGACACAGCAACTGTGGACAAATGAGCTGGTTTCCATGCATCTTGTGTACATCTCTTGTTTGCTAGAGATCACATTCTCTGGAATACCATCCAGTTTATAGTGATGTCTAGTAACTAACAGACACTGTGAGTAAATACACAGGTTTTTGTCCCTGTCCAGGGTTAAATATTCAGACACCATCAGTCTATTTCTAGGCCTCCTAATACAGAATACTGACAGCATAGTGTCTATGGAGCATTCAGAATAAATTGTTGTTCTTTTGATTTCAGAGTAGAAAGCCCCTTGCTGTAGTTGCAGTCAGTGGTCTATCCCCAGTTTGGGTAAGCTGCTGTAGTTGATTTATGTACAGTATCCATATGGAGAAGTACAGAAGGTCTGACCTAGAGAAAGGAATATAATGAGTTGGAGTGACATTATTCTGTGAGCACTGGAAGTTTTGGCTGGTTCTGAGTCATTACAGTGCTGCATGCCCTGTGTGCAATGGGGAGAGTCCCTGCCTCACGGAGCTCTGTGCAATAGAAAGTAGGCAAGGAGGACTGAAATGTCTTGATTAAAAGCCACTTAGAGAGTCACTGAAAGAGCCAGAGTTTTTCTAGTTCTCCCTGGCTCTCCACCACTTCAAAGCACTCTAGGCCAGTTGCTCAGCTGGTGTGGAGAACACCAGTACTGGAAGTCCATCTACTGTCTGTCTCCATCAGAGCCAAATATTGACACTGGCAAAAATCCATTCCATTATTAAACACAGATCTGCAAACCCTTTACAGATTTGTTTATAGCTGCCTGTAAATATACTTTTCACAGAAGATTGATAGTACTTACCAGTATCTATAAAGGGCAAGCCAAACTAAGAATCTGACTATTTATTCTGACTGATAAAAGGACTTTTCTGACTTTCTTGTGACTTCTTCTGTAATTTAGTTTCTGCATTATGTAGTGTAGTTGTTTTGCTGTTTTTAAGAATTTGGAAATTGTAAGCCTGTAGGATTTAAGTGAATTTAGTCTTTGCAGAGGATCTACTTTCCTTGGATCAAATTTCCTTGAATTTGAGTGATATATATTTGTATGCTGATGCATTTAAAGTAGGAAACAACATGTTGCTTGGGCTGTGCTTCTGTAGGTGTCATCCCATCTCCTGGTATATAATGGACAGGGCAGAGAACTGGGCAAAAGACTTGGTTCTTTTTCTGATGCCAAATGTGAAGAGATTTGAGCAAGTCACCTCAGCTGGTGAATTTCTGAAGATGTGCTGAAACCAGCCAAGCATTCCTGCTAATCTAAGGACAGCTGGTGTTAGGGGAAGTGTGCAGTAGTAAGGGATCAGTTACTAGTTGTTAATGCAGGGTCACCCCATCCAAGCACAGGAGAGCTTTGTCTCAAACCACTCATGTAAGCTCCTTTCAAAACTGGCAGCATGTAAAGCTGAGCTTTGCAAGGGCCTTTCATGTTTCCTCAGTTCTTGATGTGTTTGTCAGAGCTGCTGATCATTAGCAGTGGTGGTGCTCAGTGTTTGGTACCTGGGCTGGGTACCTTTGCTCCCTGCTACTTGAGGGTGGCTGTCAGGTAACAAATCAAGGTGTCTTTTAGGTCATTTCCACAGCCTAAGTTCTACCATAGCATCAGGGATTAGTGTTTCTCATTGGCCTCTGGGCCTTCAGTGTCCATCAGCAACAGGAATCTATGGCACATTGATATAGATATATGGTATTTAGGATATGCAGGTCTTCACCCTGCTTGACAAGCTGTTGTTTAGTTCTTTGGATTTCCCTATGGCTGTTCTTCTTTCAGTCAGGGACTGTTTCTCCTCTCTGTTCCCCAGTGCACTTAGCTGACTGTTGGCAACCAGCATCTCACAGTGCTGAAGGTTGAGAGAGGCTGCCAAAGTACAAATTGTGGCCAGGCTGAGTTATTAAATCTGTAGGATTATGTAGTCTGACTAATCCACAAGTAATCCCTGTCCTTCTGCTGCAGGCTTACCGATACCTCACCCCATATACCCCCATCTGCATTGCAAAAGCTGTGAAGAATGCAGCAGAAACAGAAGGCATGAGAAGAGCACATGTAAGTGAAGCCTTGAGTGTCTCCTTGCACATGGCAACAGGTTTGCTTTACTTTAAGGGAAAGAAGTAACATTTTCCTTTCAGTTTTAATGTTTTGGATAAAAAGCAAATAAGAATTTGGATGGCAGGATAAAAAAGGTCTTCTGTCAGACATCTACTGCTGTTGAAGCAGGTTTTTTGCTTGTTTTGCATTCCCTTGAAGAACAACATTTGCAATAGTGTGAGGAAACAGCTTTGCTCTGTGGGAAGACTGTGCAGACTTGAGAAATGTTTTTTGCAGTGTGGGCCCTTAAAGGGATGTTGTTTCCCCTTTGCTAGTTCTGTTGTCTTTGTCAGTGGAGTCTTTAAATTGTTATCACTTGAATAAACACAGCCTAAATAACACACAGAAATTCTTTGACACATGGTGCAAAGATCAGGCCAAGATGTTCAGAAGCAGCCAGTGTCCTCAAAGCACTCTCTTAGTCTTGCCATCATGACACTGGAAATGAGGCTGATTTTCCAGGAAGCTTCATATTTTCAAGCAAGGAATCTGCCTGTGCGACAGGTTCATGGTGGAGCTGAACTTTTCTCTTGTTTATCTCCTGTTAGTTTTCAAGCAGCAGTTTTCACAATAAGAGAAATGTGCCAGTTGAAGCAGGGCTGACAGTTTTGGGCTTGTCCCATATTTTCTGCAGCTTTTTGGGAACCAGTACTTTCTATTTCAATGCTTTTCTCTCTCTATTAGTTAAAGGGAAGTAAAAATAGTTGTACTGAGAAGAGACACTTTGTCACCTGCCACCTGAGGAAAAAATTGTGCCTTGTTCTTGTACACATCTCCTGCTTCTTGCCCCAACATGCTGCAAGCACGCAGAAAAAAAAGGAACAAAAATGGGGGTCATAAGGCAAGAGAGCCAGAAGCTGTGTGACAGAGACTGTGTGGTGGCTATGTGCCCAAAGGACATGTTCCCCTGTCACATCACCAGATGTGTCGTGTGGTTGCCTTCTGCCATCTGAGATGCAAGATCTTGGCTGCTAAAGGAAAATAGTCTTGAAAGTGATGTATGGGGTAAAGCCAGACTTCACACAGTAAGATATGTCCCAGCAGTAATTATTAACATTCTTTTAGCTCTCCAGGTAAATTTCCAGTGTTCATATTATAATATGTAATAATTACATGGTGCAAAACCTGAAAATACCTCTTGGATTATCTCTTAGTTTGTGTTTCTGAAACTTACAGGTTGAATGCTTTTGCATCAAAACCTGTTCATACTGAGGCTTGATAAATCTTCTCCTTCTCAATTGCCTTTTCTTGTGCCTATTCTAACACAGATTAAAGATGCTGTTGCCCTGTGTGAGCTCTTTAACTGGCTGGAAAAAGAGGTATTGTATAACTTTTTTTAACTTGAAGGTTCTATTGCTGTGTAAAATCATTCATTATCATAACTTTGTTGTTAGTCTTTATAATGCCTTTACTAAAAGTGGGGAAACAGTTGGGCGTTTATCTGGTGGTTTGGGTTTTTTTGTGAGGATTTCAAACATGCTTTTGTCCAAGGCTGAATTTTTTTTTTTGAAAACATTCTCCCATTCATTTTATACAGACAAGTGAGAAATTACCTGAGCAGGCTTAGTGTAGTGGTAATGCTGTCTTGTGCTGGTTTGGTAGTGTAAATCATGAAATAATACTCAGCTTCATACAATACTTTGGAGTTATTCTCATGATAATCAGTGTTGTCTGCCAGTATGAACAAATTTGGCATTTATGAATGGGAGATGCAGTGGAAATGGGATAAAAACAAATTATTTGTGTATTCACTGGGTTAGAAGTACTCAGTGGATGTGCAGAGTGCCAGGTGTTACACAGCAACTTACTAAGCCGTGCCACTGCATGTCTGAGTCTATTGCCTTTATTTATGGAGAAGGCTTGATGACTTCCAGAAGGTGCCTTTTTACATGTCTGAGTACCTCAAGAAGTCAGCCTCAGGGGTTATGAAACCTAGCTCTTGCCTTGCTTCACTTGTTTTCCAGTCCAGGGGAAGCTGGGTCACAGGTTTGAATTTATCAAATGCCTAAAGTAAAATTTAACACGCTTTGTTTTTTCTGCAACTGTTTCCATTCCTGATTTAACAGCATAAAATTTCTAACAGCATGGGCTGTTAAAGAGAACTATTTAAGCTTAGTGTCACCTGACTGTGAAGAGATGCTGCCTTGTGAGATGTTGCCTGTGCACATCTCAGTGAAGTTAGTACTGCACTAACTGCTCCCTAGTCAGGGTTCAGCAGTCCTGCTGTGACCATCTCCACTTCCTTCTTCTCAAATGCCCTGCACAATGTTGCTGGGTTTGTGTTTGTCATTACTGAGGAATGAGGACAGAAAACCTGGAAAGAAGCCACTTCCAGGGTTTCATAAGGCACAGACAAGACCCAGTGTTTAAGCATTTAGGGTTTTCTTTGCTTGTTTGCCCTAATCCAGCCCATGTTCTTGTCCACCAGGTCCCAAAGGGAACAGTAACAGAAATAGTTGCTGCAGACAAAGCAGAGGAGTTCCGCAGGTAAAAAGTAAATCTATTCTGAGGAGGTTTTCTGGGTGGCATTCTTTATCCATTGTTTTTATTTTATTCTTTAGAAATGCATCTCACTTGCAGATATATTTTACCTGAGGACTTTACTAATGGATTTATTTGAAAACTTGAAAGAGTTGGGAAGAATTGGGTCTCTTGGGAAATACAAGTCCCAGCCCACTGGATCCTGTCCACTTTCCTTTTGAGATAGCAATGAGGAGTACTGCAGGTTAGGACACTTAAATACAAGGCAATTGTTTCCTTACCACAGAGAAATGTATATTTCAAAGTCAGATTTCTTCCTCTTCTGATAGAGAAGGAGCACCATTTATTTTGAGAGTTACTCCCATGTGTACATCAGCAGGACCTCTAAAATGCCTTTGAGTAAATAAGGTACAAAGTAGAAATTGTTCAGCACATATATTCTTGGGTGATTTGGGTTGTGAATTTTCTTCTTTTAAGGAAAGAGTAGATCTGGAAAACAGCTGGGAGAAGAGGGCTTCAAATTGTACATTTCTTCTACCCAAATTTGCTTGTCTAGGTGGCTTTCAAGGCCAAGGGGAAGGCTGAGGTGGTGTGAAATTGAGGATGGGGCCCTCCAGGTGCCCTGGGTGCTTGGTATGCTCCTCTCACTTGTGTTGTAGTGATCACAATCTTTTCTTTCAGTCAGCAGAAAGACTTTGTTGAATTGAGTTTTGCTACCATATCAAGCACAGGTCCAAATGGAGCCATCATTCACTACAAGTAAGAGAAACACAGCTTCTCCTTTCAACCTTCAGCAAACATAGCTGGAACGAGCTGTCTCAGTTCCCCATGGAGTCACAACAGAGTACTCCAGGGAGATGTTGCTTGCTATCTTTCTTTACTCCTTACTAAGTAAAGATCTTTCTCTGCTGGCAGCATGCATGTATTATGATGCTGATTTGCTCAGGGCCATAGGAAAAGGCTATTTTGGGGCTGGAAGTCTGGGAAGGATGAGTATGAAGTGCCACAACTGTTCTGAAATACATCCAGAAGCAGATGTTGAGGGCTATGCTGGAAGCAGCAAAGCTCTGTACTGTAGTGCCATTTGCTGTATACAAATCCTCTCCTCAGTATGATCCCTGGCTCAGCATGTGTGGGATTTCCATCACTGCCACAAGAAATCAGAGCCAGCACATCCAAGCTTGTAGTTAATATGGTTTCTGGACTGCAGATGTGTGCTGGAGACCTTAAAACTGTGGAACAAAACCCTTTGTGTTTAACTGCACAGGCCAGTTCCTGAGACCAACAGAACGCTGTCGGTGAACGAGATCTACCTCCTGGACTCAGGAGCACAGTACAAGTGAGTGCATGAATGGTGCTGAGCTGCCAGGTGTTCTTTCCCCATGACCTCTGCAGGGTCAGCTCACATTTGCCTTGGCAAGCAAGGCAGTGTGGAGGTTTGAGTAGACAGATCAGGGCTGCTGACAGGCCTTGCTGGGGTCAGGGACAAGATGTCAAAGTACAGTTCCCATCTGAGTCCCATCCATCCCCAGTGATAGGAGCTGTGCTTTAGCTGGTGGTTTTGGTATTAAGTTGCAGGAGCAGGGAGCAGGCCTGACTGCCCTGGCTTAGCCTTGGGCTGCCTACTCAGTAGCCTGCACAGCTGGGTGAGGCACCTACCCTGCCAGGATCTGCCCTGTGGGCAGATTTGACTGATGTTGAGCTCAGGACAAGGTGGGGTGAAGAAGCAGGACAGCACTGCCCTCTCTGCCTTTTCAGAGAGACTCAGAGTCAGGGTTCCTCATCCCAGTGGCCTCTTGGGTATGTTTTTGGGAGGGAATCATGTCTGAAAACTCACTCAATGCTGTTTTGACAGTGCCATTCAGTGGCCTCAGTTCCTTTACTATGGAACTCTTGACTCCATGGAAAATGAAAGAAGTGGTGTTTTTAACCAGTGTAAATAGATGAGAAGTGGCTTGTTCAGGAAGATGCAGGACGAGCCTGGCTGCTCCTTTGAGATGGGCTTTGTCTTTAGAGCTATGCCTTTTTGTTATGTCAGTCAGGAAGAGCTTTGAAAAAGAACCATACAGACATCCTTTGATAAGATTTTTACAAGGAGATCTTTTTTCCTCCCCTCTGATGGCCTAATTAACGATTTCCTTAGTGCCACTATGAAAAGCAGCCCTTTGGATACAATGTAAGCTGGACATCAATGGCACTTACCACAGCATTGTGACAGGGATGCTTTGCTTGTCCCTGCTGAGAAGTTAAACCGTGAGCTCTTTGTGCCCAGAGCCTGTGTGTGCTGGGGAAGAGCACAGGGACAGGAGCAAGTTTCAAAGGGAACTCGTTATTTCAAGAGCCACTGTGTTTTTGACAGCAGGCTGAAAATGCTATTTGCAGAAGGAACTTAGAGCCAGTTTCTGATGTATTAGATTAACCCCTGTCCAAATGCAGGGTGATTTGCAGAAATCTTAGCACAAGACATTCTGAAGATGAAAGGGATACTATCCCCCCTTACACTTCCCTTTTCTGAGCTGGTAGCTGTCATTTTTGCACAAATGTGTGTTTTAAAGCTTTTTTAGCTTTTTTAGTGAATCACCTTCCATACAAATAGGCTGAATTTGGCCTGTTCTCAATGGACAGGTACCTGTTGCTAAACCTCAAATTAGCATCGTTTTTATGAGCAGTTTAGATTCTAATTTGGGAAGAGCTTTGGGGTGCTTGTGATTGAAAGATAGCAGTGTGAATTGTAAATCATTATTGCTACATCTGGGGCATTGTGTTCAGGAATTTTTGAGATTAGGAGTGGTTACATCATCAGCCTTGTGTAGCACAGAGCAGATGAGTTTATCCATTTATGAGCTTGGTTGGTTTGCTGCAGTGTGACTGGGTTTCCTGTGCATTCTCATTTTGATCTTTCTTTTCCCCCCATCCCTTTGGTTCCTGCATCTTTGCTTCTGAAGAGATGGTACAACAGATGTGACCAGGACAATGCATTTTGGCACACCATCAGCCTATGAAAAGGTAAGTTGGGATCACAGTGTGGTTTGTGATCAGACCCTTATTATTAGAGATGCTTAAATTAGTAATGTGCTCTATTGCTATGCAGTCAAAGTTCTCTATGGAGTTACCATTTATTTACCAGTATGTGGCAGCATTTGGATAAGGACTGAAAAGGAGACTGTCATACTTCTGACTTCCAAAACATAAACTGTTCTAGAGAACTGACACCTTTCTAACTTAAAATGCACAGCTCTCATCCTCAAAATAACACGTTTCCTCTAAGAAATAAGAAAATCAGCAGATTGAGGATAAACATTACTGGTTTGTCCAGTAAGGGAGCCAGGGGGGTCTAATTTAATGCAAAGCTCAGTGTGTGATGCAAGGCTCCAGTCAGATTGTGCCTAGTGTATGATATAAAAAATCAGTCTCAGACTTACCTGAAAAGGTCTGTGTTCGAAATTTAGCAATGTAATTTTGTTTATTTTAAATTGCTTTTTAAACTTTTTATTAGTCTTAACTAAAACTAATTTCATTATTAAAGTTCACTTAGTGACAAAAATAAGCTGTAAGGTGTGCCCAGGAAGTAAAAGTACAGCCACAAAGAGAATCAGTCATGTAGATCAGGGGAATGCTGCTGCTAAACCTGCACTCTGAGTTTGTGATAGTCTCTCTGTAGTTACTGGAGAGGGATCTTCAGAGTGATCTAAACTCCTTCTGCTCATGGTTTGCTTTGGCATTACCAGCCACACAAGAGCATGAGCAAGTTTTTCCATATCCTTTGCAGTTGGCTACAAGATGCATCCTCTCTTTTCCTTCTTGGGGAATACGAAGCTTTTCCTTTCCCTCTTTACTTATGGCACACATTTCTTTGACAGGAATGCTTCACATATGTCCTGAAGGGACATATAGCTGTCAGTGCTGCCATCTTCCCAAATGGAACCAAAGGTGGGTTGGTGAGTTGGAGTGTTTTGACCTCTGAAGAACCATTAAGTGGTCTGATAACAATGTTATGATTGACAGATAGGCAGACCAGGCTGATGTTGTACTGTTTCCATCACAAGACTTTGGATTCTGGATTACTGATGCCTTCTGTCTCAGCATCAACCAGTGCTGAAAATTCTGAGGCAGGCAGTCTGAAAGATTTTGTAAGCGCTCTGTTTCTAGGGTGATAGTGACTTTCATCACTCAGTGGTGCTCTAACACATGTGCTTGGAGGTTGTCTTTATTCTTTACTAATGGCCCTATCAAAGTGAGAGGTCACTCTCCAGCTTCACAAGGACTGGCTAATTCTCTTCCAATTACTGTGGAATCTCTTGTATCAGTGGGAAAATATATGGGAATATGACACACAAAGGAGTTGTTATTTTGTGCAGGAGAAGTAGTGATATATCATCCACTCTGGATGATATTTTCTCCCTGGTCACACCTTATACAAAACCAGCTCTTTTTAGAGATTTCTTCAAATTTGCATTCTTGGGTAGGTAAGGTAAAAGCAACAGCACAGTGCTATGAAAAACCCAAACTGAAACTGAAGGGTATCTGAATTTGGATGCATGGGCTTGGTGTTCACATGCAGGCAACAGAAATTCTGTGCCCGCTGGTTGAAACTGTGTGAAATGAGTGGCCTTCCAGGCAAAAAAGCCTGGATTAGTCTGCCAAACACAATTGGCAGGTCTCCTATTTTCAGTTCAATAAGTGCAGCTCCTTTTAAGACAGGTACTGAATTCTCTGTGGGACTTTTAACCGTTAGATTCTTTCCTGAAAATGTCAGTAGAACAAGCAGCAGTGCAATGTTACTGTTACAACCATCTCTTGAAGACCTGTGTAATGGAAGAGAGAAGAGCTCTTCACCTGAGAAAGGGATTGAATGTCAGAATTGACAAATCTGCCCTGTAACTTCTAGCCATCCAATGACTTGCTTTCTTTGTGGGTGATGAGGCTTTTTGAGGGGGTGGTGGTAGATTTCTTTTTTTTGCGGCTTTTTTTTTGCATGTTTTCCAGGTTTGAACCTTCAGCATGGTTCTCAGTGTCTCTGAGGGAGCCTGACTTGATTGAATTTTCTCCCTGTCTGTCTGCAGGTCACCTTCTAGACTCCTTTGCCCGCTCTGCCTTGTGGGACTGTGGCCTGGATTACCTGCACGGGACAGGACATGGAGTTGGCTCTTTCCTAAACGTGCATGAGGGTCCTTGTGGCATTAGCTACAAAACCTTTGCAGATGAGCCCTTGGAGGCTGGCATGATTGTCTCTGATGGTATTTAGCACTGGTGATTCTCTCTGGTCACTGGGGAGGGACCAAGCTCTTCAAGATGCAGAGGGAATAAATGTGACTGATGGAAAGGCTGGATCAAAAGCTCTGGGCCTGCCTCCTCAGCTTGCTGGTTTAGTTGTCATTTAAGCTGTCTAGGTAAAGACCCTCACATCAGCTTTTCACCTTCCATGAAGCACCTTTGCAGTGGGGTGCTGCAGGACTGCTCCCTGCAGCACAGCCTCAGAAGAGCTGTGCTGACCAGCTGGCTCTGGCATACTCTGGAAGAACTGGCTGCAGTACAAGGTGGACACCAAGCTTTCAGGAGCTAATCCTGTCTTTGCTATGGGCTATTTGAGGCAGCTGTTAAATCTTTGCATGCCTTATTCTTCCAGTAGTAAATTAACAGCCTGCTGGGGTTTGCTGAGAGACTTACATTCCTTCAGGGCTGCAAAGTCCTCTCAGGAAGTCAGGGAAACAGTCTCTAAAAGAGTGTTTTGAGGAAGGGGTTACCTGCTCATGAAGACATTAATATTTTCAGAGTTTCTGATATTTGAACACAAGTGTTCTGTGCTTTCTTGAATTCCAAGGAGATTCTGAAGCTTGAGGGCTGTCTGTCTTGTTTCTTCTCTCTTTGAGAACTTCTGCTGTCACCTTGCTCGGGGCTTCTGTGCAGATTTAGTAGCGTCAGAAATTTGCCTCTGTGGTTGCCTGATGTCAAGATTGCTTAGTGACTTCAGTGGACTAGAGACATAGAGGGGAAGCTTGGCCATAGGGGATAAGTACTTGCAGATTGCAGCAATGTGGCTTAGTTAATTACTGTCTGTTTCTGCAGAGCCTGGCTATTATGAAGATGGGTCCTTTGGGATCCGAATAGAAAACGTTGTCCTTGTCATCCCTGCTGAAACCAAGGTGAATGACCTGCTCACAGTGCACCTTTCTCCATGACTTGCTGCTTATAAATTACTGGAACTTGATGTGGGGCTATGCTGCAGACAGTTAAGTCCTACTCAAGATTCCTGGTCTCCAAAACCCCTTATTGATGAACACTGGTTCTAAGTCTCCCCTGATAATGGGAGCACAAAAGGCAGTTTTGCTTCTGCAGAGTTTCTATAGGTTGAAATGTGTGTGTGAGAGTTGTTCTAAATTGTTTTCTGTCTGTGTGTTGAAGCAACTTTATTCGTTGGAGTTATTGCTGTAGAACTGGTTGATCTCATGTTGGGATTTTCCTCTGTGGTAGGGAGCTGTCAGTGCAGTAGAAACAAAACTACAGGCAGATTTTGACATTATAGTTGCCAGTCTGGCTGGGTTATGCTTTTAGAAATACCAGACTGAAAATGATCATGTAGTCATCAAGCTGAAGTCCTGTACAATTTTCACCTTTAGAAAGGAACCATTAAAAGAAGTAACTAAGGTTTATATAAAGATTCTTTGTTTGAGCTTTAAGAAAAATGCTGTAAGTTGCTACCCTCTCATCTGAATGTTACCTTGGTTATTCTGTAGTGATGACATAACCAAGGAGTAAGTGTGATCAGGGTGGAGCTGTTTCTAAAACTGTACAATCTCTGTCTTTCTGCTGCAGTACAATTTCAAAAACAGAGGCAGCCTGACCTTTGAACCCTTAACCCTGGTTCCAATCCAGACAAAAATGATTGATGTTAATTTGCTGACAGAAAAGGAGGTAAGTAAAACAGGTTTGCATTGCCTTCTTTGCACTAGAACCAGCTTATTTTGTTCTGTTTGCTAGAACCACTGGCCACAACAGCCATTGTTCTATTTCATAGATCCAGAGAGCAATCCTGAGCACTCTGACTTATTTTTAAGCTTGACCCACTTTGAAGTGGGGGAGTGAACTAAACCAGCTTTTCAGACATCCTTCCAATCTATTTTATATGATGAAGACAGTGAGGATCCCACCAATTAATGTTGTTTTGGCAGTTCCCTTAATATGATACTTGCTGCTATCATCTCTTTCCTACTCCTGCCTTGATTTGCTTCTGGCAATTGTCTGTCTTACCATGCTGTCTCCCCAAGGACAACAGTGATGACTGTCCTGTCTCATTGTCTGCATCTGCTTGTGACCAGTCCCATTCAGGCACACCCCTTTGCTCAGTACACATGAACTCTGAGCAGCCCTCTCTGATACCTGCTTAGCAGCATTTATTTCCTGAACAGCTTCATACTCTGTCTCCCACTTAAGTCTCCCATTACCTTCTCCATGTTTAAGTCTCCCACTACCTTCTCCATGGCATATTTCATCCTGTTTTTCTACTATACTCCTTATTTTACCTCAGCACATCGTCCTTTTTGCATTTCCATTTGCTGAATAGGGCTGTGAAGGGTACCAAGATCTGCCCTAGGGTTACCTGTTCAGATCAATAGAGCAGCTTGTGCCTCAGGAGTGCATTGTCCAGTCACAATTTTGCAAAGCCATTTATTAAGCTGTGCCAAGGTAGCTATTCAGACTTGCTGGAGGCAGTGATTTGCAGAGACTTTACTTGTCAGTTAAATTGACCCTTGGTTCCTCTGAAAGCCCAGGACGAATTCCTTCAGTTCCTACCCTCAAATGTACAAGTCACTTCCACATAATAGAGATCTGTCTCTTCAGGACAGGATCCCAGCCCAGCCTAACAGCTCAGACCCAAAGAGCACAAGGGCCTACAAATGTTTTTGGCTATACATAACTTGTAAGGTCACGAACTCTCCTCTGTGCTCATGCTGAATGTCCTGCCCCTCCGTTTCTGCAGCGGAACTGGGTGAACGAGTACCACCAGAAGTGCAGGGACGTGGTGGGAGCAGAGCTGGAGAGGCAAGGCCGGCACGAGGCTCTGCGCTGGCTCCTCCGGGAGACGGAGCCTCTGGCCCCAGTGCAGTAGCACCAGGACAGCTCCGTGTTCCCATCACCTGCGTCTTCCTGGAGCCTGGCACCGCTGGGAGGACGTTCTTCAATGAGCATTTGGAAATCAGGAAGGGATTTTGTGAAGTGTTTCTTGCCCCACTGCACGTGCGGGTAACGCGGGGCTGAGGAGGGTAACTGTCTGAATAAGTGTTTTGGGGGGAGGGGTTAAGCATAGAAAACAAACAATAAATAAGCACGTTGCCTTTGAAACAGAGGTCTTATTTCAATAATGGTTCTAAGAGGCAATACTGGAATATTTTATACTGTCTGGTTTTTCACTGTGAAAACTCAGTATTTTTGCATACTTGGGTTCCAGTTGCTAAGATGTTACCCACACAGCAGGACTGATTACTGAATAAAAGATTCCAATCCACTGTTTGCTCCATCTGTCTTCTCTTGCAGTCAGTGATGTATGTGTTGGGTTTGGCAGCTTGAAGAAGGACAGGAACCTCATCTTTCCACCCTTATGTGTGCATCTAACTCAGACAGGGAAAAAATATGTTTAGGACTGCCTGGTTCCAGGCGCTGGGCAGAGGTTATGGAGAGAGCTGGCAGGAGCAGTTATTTCTGATTTCTGACAGGTCCTGGAAGGATATGGAGACACTCGGCAGAGGTTTGTGTGTGCAGAATGCCTGGGCCAGTACTTCTGTCTATTGTTATGTCTTACTGAGTGCTCGTATAGCCTGTGGCAGTGCAGGATGCGTGGGCAGTATCACGGAATTGCAGCTCTTCCTGGACACAAAGCAATTAGTAAATTAAAATAAATAAATGTGCCCACAATGGACAGAGGACGAGCTCCGCGGTGGGGGCAGCGCGGCCGGACCGGGCGCAGCGACACCTGGTGGCCGAGCGAGGCAATGCGGGCTGAGCGGTTCTTGAGGCACTGCCGCGCTCGCTGCAAGTGTTCGATCAAAACTCCAGTTTTGATCAGTATCAGATAATAAAGGAGCAATCGGGAACAGCAAAACGAATTCCTCATCTTTCAAAGGAATTTTCTGAGCAAATGGAAATGTTTGTGTACATAGTTTTCTTTCCCTCTTCCCCCCGCCCTCAGCTGCTTTTTTCCAAGGAGGTGATAAAGCAGAGGTGCAACACGTGCTTTAAAAGGTCAATATCACCTCCCAGCCACTGCAGACAGGTACATGTATTTAAATAATCAAGTGATTTCTCACCACCCGCTGGAAGCAGCAGCTTTCAGCTCAGCTGTGTCTGCGGAAGACCTGCTCACACCTCAACCTCTCCCAGGTGTCTCCTGAGGCTGTGCTGCCAATTAGAACGGGAAGTGGCAACACATCCTCATCAGACGCCTATTAAGCCTCACCTTAATACCCTCTCTGCCGAAGGAGCCTGTTACCCGTGGCTACAGGGTCAAAGGACAAGGGAGGGGTCTCCGCACAGGCTGTGCTGTGACACGGCGGGTCTTTCCCCGGAAAATCCCCGTGTTCGCTGGGGCTGAGCTCGGGCCCCGGCAGCCCGGCGCTGCAGCCTCCCCCGGTCCCTGGAGCTGCTCTGCAGGGCAGGGCTGGGGCTCCGGCAGACTCTGCTGCTCGCTGCAGGCCTGTGGGGAATGCGCTGCTCACCCGGGCGTTCCCGAGGTGATTCGGCATCCCGGATCTCCCGGCAATGACCCGGCCGGGAAAGGTCCCTGTTCAAATGTAAGGGCAGCTGTTTCCACAGGAAGGTGGAAGAGGAGGATTTCTACCAAACAGAGAAACGCAGAGGCCAGGCATGCTTTTGTCCCTGTAGCCCAAAGCCAGTGTGGCTGGCGTGGACACTGGTGTGAAGGGGGAGCACAATACCAGTAGGAATATTCTAGGTTTGAATAGCCTTATTAGACCTTTTCCCCACCTCAGTATGCTCCTTGCAGCCAGATGCCACCCTGGGGCCATTCCCACACAGATCACAGAAATTCATGGCTCGTTCCCATCCCAAAGCACAGGGTCAGAGGTAGGACAAGCCATACTTGTGTCCTCCTCTGGGCACCAGTCCTGGAGCCTCAGCAGATCCCTCTCCCATTCACTCCCCAGCCCATCCTCCCTCCCCACACAGCCCTGTGGGCTTGCAGGGAATCTGACACCAACCCTTGGTCACAGCTTGGAGATCTGTGCCCCTTTCTCGGGTTTGGCACCTCAGCAGGGGCACACGGTGTCAGGGCAGGGCTGCTGACACACATCCCTAGCTAAGGCATTTATCTCCCTCCCTATTCACTCCTTGAAAACACAGCTGCCTTTTGTATCCTGTCCTGTCTGAGCTTTAGGTTTCCAATGGAAATTAAACTTGGATTCTCTTCTTTTCCTTTTATCAAGTTTTCATTTATTCCATTAGTGCCTGCTTTCCCTGAGTGGTTTCTCCCTTCCCCTCTCCTGGTCAAAGAAAGAAGTTAAGGAAGAGAGGAGCAAGGATAAAATTGAATGGAAACCAATGCCAGGTTTAGGTTTTATTTTTTTATGAACCATCCACAGAAATAGCCACAAAATTATGTTCTTCAAATGAAAAAAAATATTTAATTCTGGTAAAAAAAAAAGTCTATAGCGGCTTTTGTTGTTGTTGTGGGAAAGCAGGAAGGAAGGAAGGAAGGGGCATTTTCAATAACAACATACTCAATGTTCTATTTTCAAACCATTTTGTTTTGCGGTACTTTTAACCTAGTGGGCATCTTGTAGCTTTAGATCATGCTGCAAAGCACATTTCTGAGCTGTGAGATAACATCTCCTGCAGGGGTGTTTGTGTGTTCAGCCCATCCAGTCCTATCCCTGCACCAACCCAGGAGCTTGGTGGCTGTACCTCATCACCACCACCACCACATGATCCTGTTTGTACCCTTGGGACAGGACCTCAGCAAATGCAAACTATACTCAAGGTCCATGTGTGGCCACCCTGCTTTATGTCACCAGAGCACTGGCCTCTCTGTCCCCTTCCCAGCTGTTTGTTAGTGTTTGTGCTAGAAATTTCCAGCTACACTATTGCTGTGTTCAGGGGGTCTGGAATTCTTTGTTCCCTTGGAAGCAGGAGACAGACCTTATTTGCCAATGAAGGAAAACCCACCTCAGCTCCACAGTTCCATCATGAATCATGATGCACACATTGTTGGTGTGCAAGGCTTTTGAGGCAAATAAACCATTTCTCCTTGAGCAGAGGGATCATTCATTCATCACCAGGTACTTGTGCTCCTTGCCTCCATAGGCAGGTGACTGCTTGGCTTCTCCAGTCACCCCTTCTTCCTCCATCTGTGTGTATTACCTTAGGTGTACTTGGTAGCAGTAAAAATCAGTTGTTTTTAACTTAAATGGCTTGTAACTGACCTGTAATCAAACCCCCACTATTGTTTGCGTGAGTATTAAATGGTCACTTCCCACAACAGCTGTTGGAGCAAGTTTTGATTTACAGTAGTAGAAAGAAGAAAACTTTTGAGAACACAGTCACTGAGGGCCTCCTCAGCAAATCCATCAAACCAGCCTGATGTGCTGGCTGCACACAGGAAAATGATTGCCCAGAAGCACTGAAGGGCTGGGGGTGTTGTGGGGTTGGTGCTTGTTCCTGTGCTTCCTTCAGCAGGGGACAGTGAGAGCCAGGCGGTGGGAGCAGCCAAATATCAAAGCTCTCCTGGGCATCCGGAGATCCTTTGCCACTTCTGTTCCTCAGGAGTCTCCTTTGGGTGGCCTGAGGCAGAGGACAGCATGGAGCACTTTGGAAGATATTCATGGCATGCTGAATAAGGCTGTGTGGTCATTCAGGCAATGGACAAAACCCCCACCTGCTTGTTGTCACTTGATGCCTGCAGAGGCCCTGTGTTTGCCCAACACCATTTCCTTTTGGCACTCACTGGGGTCACTTGGCTGCTGGTGCTAAGGATTGTTGACATTAATTTTTGTTGACTTGTAGCAATTCACACCTTGTTCCTGGAGTCCTCTGGCTTGTTTTTGGAGAAGAAACTGCAGGCCTGGACATCTGGCAGTGGTGTCTGGAGATCAGGAGTTAAATAACTTGCATGGTGTCACTGCCCTCAGCTTGTTTTACATGATTAGGACAAAACTCCCCATGGCTTTGGATGTAATAAGAAAAAAAAATGAAACAAGAACCTCTGGAGGGTAGAAATATGAACTGTGTTAGTGCTTAATTAAGTTGCCTATTAACAGTTGTGTAGTGGCCTGGAAGAATTTTAATGTACCAATTAAAGCAAGGAGCTATCTCCTCGGCTTTCCACCACCTCTGGGGACGCTGTCAAGAGCAGGGAGCTTGCAGATCAAGTGTTGTTTATTTTGTTGCTTCCAGCTTGTTAAAAATTGTTCTAAATTTGGGAAGTGGCGGATGCCCGTGGATGTGTTTGCTTCCACGAGGCAGCAGTGATGTCTGTCTGATGGGGATCCACATGGTAAAGGAGCAGAAAAATGCTGTCTGACCCCATAAACCCCCTCCTGTTTCTTAGGGTTCCTCTGAGTTGCTGCAGGAGGAGGAGGGGGCTGGCAGCCCTGGGGTAGCTCCATGCTGACAGTGAGGTGTGCTGGTTTGGCACATCCAACCTGGACATCTGGTGTGCCAAGTTATCCTGCCAGTTCCCTGGCTGTCCCAAGCTATCCTGCCTGTTCCCTGGCTCTCCCAAGCTATCCTGCCTGTTCCCTGTCCCATCACTGTATCAAACCTTTCAGGAGTTTCCCCCTGATTTAAGCCACAGGGATGGGAGTTCCCCCTCCAGTCTTGTGTGAGGTGGTCAGAGTGTGGCTGCTCTGATGCCTAAAATGGCTCTGATTTACAGCCAGAAGGTACTTAAGGCTATTTTAGTGCCAGCAGACGTCAAACTAAGACATAGCAGCAGACAGAGAGAAATGCATTTTTTTAAAAATTAATTTAAATTGCTTGTATTTAACTGGCCTGAGGGCTTGTGAAGGTTGCAGGGGAATTGGTTCATCAGGGCTGCCCACTGCCATGGGCTGCTGAAGAAGTGTTGCTCTGCTCTCACGAGACACCATGTGCACAACTTCCATTCTCACATGGCATTTGAATTTAAAAAAATCCATTTCTGTCCATTTTGTGTGTCCCTGTGGATGGATGGCTCGCTCTGGTTCCTGGTGTCAGGGCAGGATTTTGCTCACAGGGCCTGAAGGTGGATGGCCTCCCACGTGTGTGCTTGGCTGTGAGCCCTTCCTTGCAGCTCTCAGAGCCTGTGACTGCCACTCAGCAATCTGCATTGGGCTGATCCTGTTTAGGAACAAGGCTGGGGCCAGCATGTTGTAAACATCTTCCAAACATGACCCAGCTAAAGGGTGCCTGCTGTGTCCCTTTGGCATCCCCCTGCCACCCCAGCATCCTGTCAGGCTTTCCTGGCTGGGCATCTCTGGAGCTGGAGGAAGTCCCCACTCACAGCCAGCTGGCCCTC